CCCTTGTTCACTCTCCTTATTCTTTCTAACCGAGTCACGCCGTACCCCGGTACAGAATCCTAAGAAACAGGGGGTGAAAGTGCAAATATAAAAGTTATACGATTCCGTTTGTTTTAAAGTAATATTAGCTCTCGATAGATACCTACAGGAAAGCTTAAATTGCAAAACAGAAGAATTGCAATTGAAATGTGTCTTACCACAGACGGACCGACGCGTTAATATGAACGGAGCGTCCCGACGAGGGTATTTTTCGCTTTAAAGAAACCGTGTTAAGATCGCGAGGCGTGATTCGAACCCGTTATATCCCATGGATCGAATACGAATCTCGAATGCGAGAGGGACGTCTGGTAAATCCGACGAATTTCGTGGAACACGTTCATGGTCAAGCGACGCGGTGGAGCATCCGCTCGCGTAAACGCGCCGCTCTCTAACGACGCCTCGAATATGGATGAGCCAGGGAATAGTGATCTCTGAAATGCAACGGATTACCACACCGATCGAGTTCGAGGGATACGTAACGGGCTTTCGGTAAAATGGTAATAACGTGAAACGGAGACGAGATGCAGGGATTAAATTGGATTTTAAACCGAGGGTAATAACTGTACGCGAGCTCTGTCTGGGTCGCAAAGACGGGAATAGAGAGGAAAGAGCTACGACACAGGGTTAGAGCCGCGAGACACGAGAGACGGTCTCGAAATTGCATTATGCATGCGGCGCCAAGTACACTCGGTAATTACTCCTATTAATAGAATCAATCTCGCGGCGCATGCCGGGATGACGTTTATTAGTGACACGTGTTTGCAACAGAAGCAGCTTCATGCGGCCGTTATCTGTCGCGAACCGGAGTGAATAGGAGAGTGGCATAGAAGCACACCGGCTACCTGTTGTTGGCCACGCTAATGATTTTTGCATAGTTAACCAGTGATTTTCACGCTTTGATGCTTCCATGTAGGAGTAGAAGCCGATAGAAAGCGAGCCATCGACGCGCTGCTGGTGAAGCTTTGATGCATCGCTTGGACTTTAATTTAACGTCAAAGATGTTCTTTATCCAATTGACGCGTCACTCATTGACACCCTGACAAAGTATTAGATTAGCCAAAGCAAACGTTATGATTCCCTGTTCTTTTTCTCTGTTCTATTTTATCAATTAGCATTTTCAATGTCGCAAGATTTTCAAAGAAGCAATGCGCTATTTTTATATCGCGCGTTTCCACTGTTAGGCTGAGGGTAAAAATTGCTTGATAAATCTAAGCCTGAAAGCTTCTGACACAGTGCTATACGTTTTGTCGCGCATCGTTTCATCCAGTCCCATTTTTCTTAGCTGCCCGAGACAGGGAACACGTTGCGTGTTCCTTTTTCAACTTTTGACAAACTGATGCAGGTTGAATCGAAACGTTAAGAATTTGCGACGGTGAAAAAAGATTTGTCTGTATCTCTACCAAAATAACGATCGAAAAATTGTAAGAGCCGAGTTTCGAATAATGGATCAATCTCTGCCTGAACGGTAAATCATACCTTTGCCCGTTTAATCACGGACAATAACGAACGCTGGTAAATAAAGCAGATTGCGATCGTTCCGATGCGTTATGGCTTTTGAAATAATGCAGATCGGAGGGGAACAACCGCGCGGTTTCAGCCGCGTCTCAATTTATTTTCGCGTGACGGGTAAACATTTAAATTCATTACGTATCGAAATCAGGCGGAACGATTCATTGGGAATGGATATTCGAAGCGTCCAGCCTCGATCCGATGATCACGTAGTAGATGTACGCGTGAAAAGGACGCGTAGGTTATTGACACGGGCATTAAAAGCCGAAAGCAGCTAGCGAGAGAGAATCCTGTTTTCCGTCGAGTTCCGTTCTCGCTTTTCAATGGAGGCAATCAAACAACACCCGGCGGCGTAACTTATAATTAATTAAATACAAACACGCGAAGCAATCGGGCCGAGATATTACTTATTTGCATGCAGGATTACGCGTTCCTGATTTACCGAATGTTGACGCCGATAATTGTCGCAGCGACTGTCTCTCCGCTTGAAATTTATTTTTATCCCGCGCCAATTAAAATGATCAATTAATCAACGCAATTCTTGGTAGAGCTAATTTTAGAGTACACGCACTTGATAATTAAATAACAAAAAAAAGAAATACATAGAAATATATCATTGAACGTGTACACAAGATTATTTGATTAACGAAGGGTTTGTTTACGATGAGAATAATTACACTCGAAGCTCGATGAATTTTCTGAATATGTACTGTCAGAATTTTTAAATTGCCAATCTCGAATCGCAAGATATTTAAAATCTTATAAAGTATTTACTAACCGTCCACGCCCAAAACCATATATAGGAAGCTTATCTTGATTTGCAAACAATTGCGACAGCAGACAATAAAAAGCAATAACAATAAATTGTAAAATGCGAAACTATAGGTACTCAACCGGCGCCAATGATCCCAGCGTTCCTAATTGAACGCAACCGTTCGTGTTGCAGCTAGACGAGTCTAAATTACGGACTAATAAGAAAAACATAGTCGAGCTAATTAGAGGCTTTCACGGTTTCGATCGTGATCGATGAAAGAAGTTATCTGTTCGCGAGACGTCGTCGATTTTCCTAGATATCGCTCTCCTCTTACAAGATCGTTTTAATGAAACTGCGGTTTTCCAGGGCCGCGTTCAATCCATCATCATTATCATTCTCTGGTACACCTAGGTAACCGCCACCGTGCGTTCAGCGCCGCGAGACGAGGCATTATCGCCGCGACGATCGCGAGCCCGTTCCCCGCGTGCAACCGTGTTTCGATTTCCCGCCGATAAAGTGAATGACAGTAAAACTGGTAAGGTGTATAGACAAGAGAACAAGTAGAAGAGAAAGACAGAAAGAACGATAGGAGAAGGACGAAACGTACGGTAGTGCTGGATGCGAACGATTTAACGCCGCTATCAGGCCTGGCGTTAACCGCTTGGCGAAACGGAATTACGAGCGACGGCAGGCCGTTCTCGGGCCGTGGATCATGCGACGCTTGAAATTTCATCCTTCAATAAATTCAGACGATCACGGCTCGAGCCGAGGCTCGATAATCCTCCGCTGCTAACGCGGCTGTATTTCGAAACGCGCATAAATGAATTCCGATCGAGGGCGTCGCGTCGCGTCGCGTCTCGTCGCGATGAAAACGTTCCTCGAACGAGGAGAGCACCAACGATGGTTTCACAAGGAACTCGCCGGTATTCCGTTGCCAGCCGATTTTCCGTCGCGTCTCGTCGCATCGCGTCGTTTGTAATCGTTTGGTTATTTCGAGTTATTAGTATTCAGACGAGACGATCCGATCCGATCCTACCCGTATATCACCAGGCGCGTCGCGTTTCGCCTGTTTTCACCGGCTAAGAACGTGGGAAAGAAGGAACACTCGGAAGATTACCGTGGATATAAAAGGATGATGTAAAGCTCGTACAGGTGTTTCGTCGTTGGTGGGTGAATTTCATCGGTTTCTCGCTCCTCCTTTCTGACCTTTCAACGCCTCCGCGCCGAGATATGAATTGTAAAACAGCCAAAGAACTCTTTTGATAGGTAGCCAGAGTTCAATAACGATTTCTGTGATTCAGGAGCTATAGGATTCATTATTCGACCTGATTATATAATAAATATAGGGCAGAGATGATTAATCCAGAATTGAAATTAATCTACTGTCCGCCGATCGCGAGAAGCTCCATAAAAACAAGCTAAAGTGAACTAGAGCGAGATTCGCTCTAGAACCAACCCTTTTTCGGCCATTTCCGGTCGGACCGGAAGTGGCAAAAAAAAATGTTGACCCACTAAACACAATGGCGCAAGAATTTTTTTGATAACTCTCACCGTTTGTCCTGTACAAAAGTGACAGAAAGTCTAAATGCTATAGCTCCCTTCTCAAGATTTTCAATCTTGCAATTAGATACGGGTTGATTAATAACGCAATCTGGTTGATCGTGCTCCACCTTAGCTTTCACGTACTTTCGGTCGTGACGTATGATTGCTGGTAATGATCACATCTACTAATTAGGCTCATGTAAAACGAGGCGGGGGTGTCAGTCCATGTGTGCGTAAGATTCCCTCTTGTCCCTCTGCCGTCCCGCGAGAATTCTTGTCATCGGTGGACAATACGTTTCCAAATTCTCTTCTTCAAACACAATTATCAATCATTCTCCTCTAAACTCAGCCCTATCCACAAAGTGGCGGGTATAATTCACGGGAGTGTGGACTTTATCGGGTCGCGTGCAGGAAATCGGAAATCAGGTACGGGTTGTAGCGTATCGCGCGAACCACATGGATCGTCCGGATGATAACGACGTCGTTAGCCCAGTGGCCACTGATACGGCTGACCAGTCGATAAACCCGCGGCTAGACGTACAGTCGTTCGGCGCCGACGAAACGATTCGTTTTCGTAATTGTTAATTAACATGGTCACGGCATTGTCGTTACTTTTATCGCATTGCGCGAAACGCGAGCAGACCCAACAACAAGTTTCGAATTCAACGACGACGCGCGCACGCGAAGCCGATATCGTTTCGGTTGTTTACAGTTTGGGCCTGACCTACCTTGAACAGTATAGTTTACGACGCCTTAGAGGTAACACGAATATCGGGCGTGGTTGCGAATTGAAACTGCGTTATTTAGACTTTTCATTTTTCGAGTGCGGTATTTGTTGATTGATAGTTGCTTGATTTTTTCATTTTATCCATTCATTAAATATTTTAATGGGGTGATTAAATATTAATTCTCCGACTAATTTGACATGCTATGGACATTGAAACCGTTCGAACACTGTTGATTTACGTACGTGAAAAAATATGTACAGAGTTTCGTTTCAACAGAGTTTACCTAGCTTCATCTCAAATCTCTTGTGAAATATTTTACGTACTCTACAATTTTCTTTGGTACTTATTTACTTTTTAAAAATGATCTATTAAATCTACTCCACTCACCGAAATAAAAATATATTAATTAAAATCTTTAAATTATAAAGGTGTTAAGTGGTTCGAGCTTCAACCTCTGGACATGGTGCTTTTTCTTGGACCTGCATCCGACGACTCTTCAGCATTCCCGTCAAGGTATGTTTATTTAAATATATTGAAATTTTGCATGAAATCAATTAACAAGGTGTACTTATTCACGCACATTCGTACAACTACGGTCACATACTTTCCATACGTTTAATTTAATTTCATTTACAATTCCAACCAATTTGTCTGCGGTTACGCTCGTCAACAGAGATACATCTTGTAGAAATTTCAACTGCACGTCACGTGCAAGCCGCGTCGCGTAATTACGGAATTTACGTAACAATGCGGGGTTGTTTAGAAGCTGATCGATTAACCGTAACGAGGAACAACAGGGCGCGTAACTTTTACCAGTTGTCACGACCGATTGTGCGATCGAATGGAAAGCAAAGATGCCGACTCTTAAACGCAGAAAAATAATTAACTATAAATGTTTCCTCGACTCGTTCTGTTTCTCCTTTGCTCGCGATGACCTCCACGAAAATACGCGGCTCGTTCCCCTTAACGTTTCGCCTCGTTTCATGTAACTTCGAATCCGTGTACAGAGTCGATGCAATTTTATTCCCTGCTCGGCCAACAAGCACACACCACTTTCCAATTTTACGATACGATACGATCGTAACATTAAATAAACTCGGCAAATGTTTTGCCTCGTTTCCTCCCTCTCTGTCGCTTTCGAACCCAGCGTCGAAAATTCGGCCGTTCGACTAACTATGTGTTCTCCATAATGTCGCGTCGAAACGCATAAACTACCGTCGTGATTTTCAGTAACGCTAGATATTCGCGTTTCCAACTATTTTATCGATTAGCTACGGTACCAGGAAAATCGACAAGCAAGGTAAAGCAAACGCGCTGGAAAATCTGTGTATGTTCTGTCCCTGACCATCAAATTAGGACCACTACAAATTTTCAGCATTTTTCACGTTTTCCGTAAAATTAAAAGGCCTATTCAAATTGTAATGATATAATTTATTAGCTACTACTACTGTACATAACACTATTAACACATCTTAATATCTCGTATTTTCACCCTTTACTTTGATCACAGCTTGTATCCTTTCCGGAATATGCATTTTATATCTTCGTTATTTTCCCAAATATTTGTAATTTTTGTTTTCAACTCAGATAATGTGGTGCTTGGAGAGTTGTAAACAAGTTTTTTGAATAAGCTCCAGACAAACACTCCCACGGCCCTTAATCGCTCATCGCCCACGTAATTTTATTTTCATCACAATACTAACAAATTTAGGTTATCAATGTATTTAGTAATAATTTGAATGACCTAAGACAATTTTCCATATACAAGTGAAATTTTCGTAAATATTATTGGCGGTGATGCGTAGCCTTGTTATAGAGCTTGATGTTAGTCGAAGGAAAGGAGAGCAAGGAAAAAAGTAGCTCGTCGTTTATCGCTAAAATATCGTTTCAGCTATTACGTCTAATTATTGGCCGTAGCAATAATAACGGTGATTTACAAGCTGCTTGAAGCGTTATAGTGTTTACGAGCCATTAGTTCGGAAGATTTACGGTGAACGCTTGCCCCCCACCCTCTGGCTGTTTTAAATGAGTTCGCATCGATTTATCTTGATTAATTAAGGAAACGTACGACTCGACTGATGCGTGTAACTCTTGCAACGACGATTTGTCTTGAAATTTTTGCATAACCATACGAAGCCTCCTTGTCGGTGGTCTTCGGTTGTTAGAGAAATGAATGACGAAATTTTGATCGGCGTTTAGATAGTTTAACGGTTAGGCACGATACACGGTATTCTCGGTATTCGAATAACAAATTGCGAGTTTAATTAAAAATTAACTGCACGGTCGCGGGAGGAACGGATACTTTTTCTCCGGTAGATCGTATTTGCTTCGTGCCGTTGTACAACTTTAGCGAACAGCGGCGCGGGTTAAAATCGGCCGGTGTTATTGCGGAAACTTTTATTCATATCGCGTGTTATTGAGACAACTTTGCGATGATTACATCCGTAAACAACGCGACGGGCAGACAGCGGGCGGTAATATCGGGGCGGGAAATTCAGGCAAACGATATTGAAATTCGGGCTTAATGTTTCGCGCGCAATTAACGTGGCGTTCGCACAAAGGTGAGCAGTAGTCAGGTAGAATAAAAATCTCGTTTTCATTCGTTTCGCACTTTTCGTTCTATTCGATTGTAGACAGAGTCGAAATTGAAGCTGCAACGATTTCACCATCCTTGTACCGTGGTCGTTTTCGATCGTTATTTTTGGAACTTCAAAAGTTGCAAGACTTTTTTTGCGACAGCTGAACACATTTTTTGTTGCAGCTTTATTTTTTAATTTTTCTGAAACACTTTTTTGCCGTTTCAAAGATAGAAGTTGCTTTCATCTCGTTCAGCTTTGTACAATTCGCGCTGTTAAAAAGGGCCACCGCTTTGATACCTTTTAATTTGATAAAGAGAAAAATATAGAAAAAGGGTAAATACAGTGGAAGTTTCTTTGTCAGGACGTTCTTTATGAAGCAGAGTTGCTTTCTGAATAATGTTGCATGAAAAGAACTGGTATTAAAACTTCAATCTACCGTGACGCGTTTTTAAACAACTAACATGTATCACGCTGCACTGACAGTGAATGTAAACCGAGAGAAATATTTTTTGAAATTCATATTTTTCATTAACCGAATCGACAGGGAGTTTCGTGAATTTTAATAAAATATCGCGATGAATATCGATGGATGAAGGGCGTTGGAGATCCAACGTCAGGGTGTGACATACGGGGGGGTGGGAAGCGTCAGTCCGCGATAAAATTCGAAATTAATCGGACCGAAAGAACGGTGACCACTCGATTTTCTATCCTATCATTTACATATGAGGCGAGCTTGCTTGAAGCCGACTGCAAACACCGGCCTCATTTAGAGTGGTCACTTTTGAAAACACTCAACCGACGACCCTCGAAACCTCACCGCGAGTTCGATCTCGATTCATCGATTCCTGATAAAACGCTATCGATTGAAAACTTGATGAACCAACTTAAATTTTGTCTACTGTAATATTTTCCCAGAAGATTCGAATTCAAATATTTTATTTCGTGCTCGAAGCAATCAAAGTGATTAATAATTCCAGAATTTCTAATTTCTAATTAATCGTTCTTTCGATTAATGAATTCTATTTTATGTCTTCCTTTCACCTTTTATATTCAACAAACCCCCCACTTATTAATGGGGATCTCGTCGTCTAAATCGTCGACTAATGGTACGGACGATCCAAGCCCATGAAGATCAGTCGCTTTTGAAATGCCGTTTAGATCCGAGCTTCTTTGAAAGATGTTACCTCGGACGCGACATCATGTAAAGCAGCGATCGTGCTTAACTCCTGGTCGATGGAGGAGGCTCGATGTTCGAAGCAACTAGCCAGAGGATCGAGTAATCAGCGAAACGCTTCGTATTCTTCCTGCTTCTAATATTCTCGGGACGTGCGCCGACTCCTCTTGCAGGGACCACCAGCCTCGTCGTGGTACCGGTTCTTCGGCGGGTTATTACGAACCAGCTTCCCGCTAACCGATGCTCGTGTACGTTTCGTCGGCACGAAATTCTTCGGTGCATCGTGTGAACACGCACGCTGGCTACCTTTGAAAATACGACGGAAACATCGGTGAACGAAGAAAAAGATTCTATACCTGGTCACGCGACAGATATCGATCCTCCTTCGATCCTATTCTTTTTTTCTCTTTACGTATTTGAAAAAATTCAGCGATTCTCTAACAGTACTCTTCGATTGTATTCAGATTAGACAGAGAAATGTTCACTTGTACGTTTCTCGCGAACAATCCTCGTTGCGTCAATCAAAGCCAGAATTAGAGATAGAAACGTGCGTGTGTCTGGATGAATAGTACATCGGCCAATTGTACGGTCACAATGGGACGCGTTCACAAAGTTGGATTCTACGGGCCGGAGAACGGTGCCACCTTTCGAGTGGAGCAAAACGAAAGCCGGAAGTGTAACAGCAAACACTGGACGTAACAATGGCCGCGACGCGTTCAATTGACGGGCATCCTTAACATCGTTTTGCAGATCGTCGATGTTGAAGTGCATCGTGCTTTTCCGCGAACGTCCACTCGATACCTGGCCACATGTGGAGCCGCTCTAACTCGTCGTCAATTGTGAACATTCGATTTCTATTTGCTCGTTTCTCTCGCTTTATCCCCGTCGTTTGACACGTCGACCAGTCACGGACGAGCTGTGTGTTTCGCAAAGAGAATTAAGTCGTTTCCAGCGGCCATTTACGGCCGCCGGCTCGTCTGTCGTGGATATTTGAACGTTTCCCGTTCAAACAACCGCGCGTTTCTTTATACCGTACGATTTTTCACCGGGATCCGCTCGTTCCGTTTCGATTTCTACGCCTAATGGCCGGCAGAGTAGTGGTTCTTCTTTTTTTCTCTTTTTCTGAAAGTGGTTTAGACGATCCGTAGGCGGTGATCATTTGGATTTTATGATTACCGGGACGAAGGAATTCGTGTATAGGCTAGGTAGATGAGTTTGTGGAACGGTTAGGTAGTAAATGAAAGGTTTCCTCTTCGAATTCAACCGAGATGATCTTCTTTTTGCACCGATGATGGAAAGTTACGGGAGCGCGGTCAGCTGCGCACTGATCATCTATTATTATTCTATTTTACAACGATGGAGGAATTCGAATGGATTAGAATCCTGCTTCGAGTTTCTGGAGAATTTTTGGTTACTCTAAGAAATCTTGAAATTAATATTTTAGGGTACCTAAGATGTCTAAAGTCTAAGTCTCTGAAAATCGTTCATAACATCACGAAAGAACAATAACTAACATTTCATATTTGGTATCGTTAAAATTTTCTACTCTGTGAATGTAATCGTGTAGATAGCTCTCAATACTATATTTCCACTTTTTAATGGCTGTAATGGTTGATTGCTCGATACCATATATCATTCCTAATGGATCGTACTTTCACCATTCTCGACTCCTTTAATTATCCCATATTTTATTTCAATAATTACCGCTACACGTTCTCGTGTTAACGTTATTACGATATCACGTGAATGATTAAATTGTG